TATACAACTAAGATTCAGAAAATTTCGTGACACTCCACTCAATGCAACACCTACCCCCTTATAAAATTTTTATAAAAAGATTTTTATTTTAAAAAAATATTTTACTTCCATTAAATTATGTATGTTTTTTAAATATATAAAAAAAAACAACTTCAAACAAAAAATGGAAGTGATCTTCTTATTATTTTTTAAGTTATTTGTAAGTTTATGGAGCTTTAGTGTTTAACTTATCTCAAAAATAATATTTAAGAAACAACAAAAAAACAACAGAATAAACAAAATTCCAAAGGAATAAAGGTCCAACAAAATATATAAAGTACCATGTATGGGAAATAACAAAGAAAAATGTGACATGGTCTATAGTGCAACAACCAAAAACAAATTAAAAACAAGAATCAGTGGACACAAATCGGATCAAAAATTAAGAAATAAAAAAGTTTTAGAACATAAAACTGCGCTTGCTGCCCACTGTACAATGAAATTACATGAAGCCGATTTTGAACAGGCAGAGGTGTTATGCGAAGAGAAAAATTATGGAAACAGATTGACGCTAGAGGTCTTTAAAATACCTCAAAACAATAGAATGAACTATAAGACAGACACTGAAAATGTAACCCACCTCTATAGAGAAGTGATTAGTAAAAATTTGCACAATATATACGATAGAACAAAGAGGAGGACGTGTATGTAGTTTGAATAATATTAACTTATTGTATGTAAACATTACATAAATTTTTATTTAGAAATTTTAATATATATAATTCCAATATATGAAATAATTTTATAAAAAAATATTTGTATGTTTGTTGTATATTTTTGTTATGTATTCATTATTGGTCATGAAAATTAATAATTAAAATATTGAAAATTGTTATAATTATCTTTATAGATCGTGATCCTAATAATGACTCTCAAGGAGAGTCGAAATATAACATAGAGTATAATAATATATATTAAACGTTTTATTATTTAACAGCCAGAATAAAAATGTATAAAAAACCATTTTAGTAAACAGGTCCAAAATGAGTTAAAAATACCGAAATTTGATCAATTAATTTCAGTTCTGCCACACTGTGCGCTGCTTTAGCACAGACCTTCTTCAATGCAAAAAAGTTCCCTTATCCGCATTCAATTTTGAATTTAGTTTATTAAAATCTGTGGTGCGCTTACAACGTGTTTAAAATATTTAAAGAACTTGGACTAGACCAATCTAAAAGTTATAAAGTTATAAAAAATTAAAAATTGTTAACAAATATCGAAAATTCTTTTTAATATAAACAATTGATTAAAAATAAAAAGTATAGTGTTATTAGTGCAGAATAGGATGGAACCTTCAAATAATCAGCCAATAAATGATGAAGTACTTCTGAGTGTAAGAATTATACCTATTTTAAATATTTATTTATGTAAAATACAATAAATAGAGTATATAAATATTAAAATATTTATGCAAAATTAAAAAGTGAACTTATAATAAAGAATTTCATTTGAAGAAAGATGTGAATATATATGCTGGCCTGTTCTTGACTTATTTATTATTTTCAATTTATTTAAGAAAAAAATAATGTTATTTTTATTTATGTTTTTGTGGTGAAGTGAAGTATTAATATATTTTCTAAACTATAAGTTAATTTCATCAATTACGTCATTTCCAACTTTTGTTTACACGTATTTTTAATAAAAATGTAAGAAATGGCATATCTTTTAGTATAAAATATAGAGGAGATAATAATATTAATTATTATTAATAATAATTAATATATCTAACAAAATAGTTTTAATAAAAAAAATATACCATCGAAATTTCATTAACTAACTTAAAATATTTTGTAAATGTTTTTCAAAAAATTTAGATAATAGCTCCCGCTTTTCTAAATCATAAAGACAATTTGTTGGATGAATAGAGCAAACATCGCCTTCAGGTTTTGTATTCAAATTATTGTAAAGACGTTTTAGACTACTACAGTAGACTACAGTTATGAAGGTAGTCATTAAAATAGTCATAAACCAATAAATAAATCTTCAAATTATCAATTTGTAATGCTATTACTTTAAATTCTACAAAGTCGCAGATAACATTTATCAAAAATTGTAATCATTTTTAAACAAGTATCTCAAAATCGTCTCCTGAGCCGTTTAGTTGCCCATGATCTCTATTCGCAATCTATTGGATTTAACGAATACCATTTCTGTTAAAACAGACATCGGAAAAATAAAGTACATTAGTTTAAACCCACCCACAATGCAGATGTCGATTGAGTCGCTTTGATCAATCATAGTAGAAATCCAATATAAAGCATCATGTGTTGGTATACGTTTCATTGCATAGGATCGAAATTGCTACAGATATTCCTTATTGTCCAATGTTTCTAATGTTAACTTAAGTTTTGAAATGAAAAGGGAAGAAACATGTCTTTATATACGAAACCCATAAAATTTAGCATTTCCTTTAATTGAGTTTAAGGAACATTTGTTGCAAAGCAATTAAAAAAAATTGGGACCCTTTACACTACTTTAGTACATTTTTTGATTTGACTATCAGTTGCCTTCGTAGATTCTTTGTTAATATTTTAACATATTTTTGTCTATTTTACTTAATAAAAACTATTGTACTTGTAAATGAAATTTTTTAAAAAATTTTTTTTTAATTTATATAAGAAAATAATAAAATTTTTTTTATTTATTTGTTTCGAACAGTGGTCAATTGCAACAACAACATTTTTGTTTTTTTTATTAATTTTTAATTATTTGTTTAAAATAAATAAACCGCTCCACAAATTTTTTATTTTAAAATAAATTTCATTTCTCATGCATAAATTTTTAAACTAAGAGAAAGGGATATCACCGCAATTTTTATAAAAAAAAATACCACATACTCTTACATATGATTAAGATCATCTATATTATAATTTTTATCTTGCCAGAAATTCTAAAAAATTTACCACAAAAACAATTTTTAAACAAATTTACATACCATACATACATTTGCAACTGATGAGGTAATTAAAATGTTGATAAAACTGCAATGAAAGAAAAAATGAAAATTTATGATAAAAAAATAAATAAATGAAAAATGTATATAAATATATAAATTAATATAATAT